CTACTCGTGCAACACCTCACCTGTTGCCTCATTCTCCCCTTTGTCACTCCCTTTTGGAGGATATGATGGGTCCAACTACCTGCCTGTCGAGGGCTGGAACTTGCCTCCTCAAGCACCACCGGCCTACGTCTCTTCAGACAACACTGGCTACGCTGAGCCTTTCCCATCTCTACCAACTACGCTCCCGGATCTTACGCCGTCTTCCACCTCGACACAATGGAATTCGCACCATGTGCACGGCTTCACTAGCACTTCTCCGCCCACCCCCGAAACGCTGCCGCAGGCCCAGCAGCCCCAACCTATCGTCCCGAATGAGGACACTATCCCTTATCAACCCCTCGACGAGCCTGAGGAGGAGGGAGAGATCCTTGTGGGCATGGGACTCTATGACGCTCCCGACAAGTATGATCAGGACCCGCAACTCGACACATCTCGCTCTGCCATGTCCTCGCTGCTGGGCGTTTCTTTCCGCCCTCTGGAGGGTACGGGTAAGGGCCTGAAGCTTGAGGAGTCGTGGCAGCCTCCTGAGAGCGATGACGAGGATGAGGATGAGCAGGACGATGCTGATGGCGAAGACTCGGATTAATGACACGACCAAAAAGAAAAGGACAACTCTCACACATTACAACACCAGCGCAAGCGTTTGATGATTTTACGACGAAACCCTGTAGACTTTGTATGATATCAAGAAGATGTACCATCGAGAATCGGGCTTGGGGGATCTTTGGGGACCGCAAAGACGGAGCATCACTATGCATGCTCCTCATGTCAAAGAAACGAGGAAGATGAATGGAAAGGCAAAATACCCAAAGATAGAAGCATGGGCCAAATTTGTGGCCCTGGCGTCACAAAAGGCAAAGGCCCATGAAAGCGCCTAGATAGAAACTATCAAAACGCGTAAAGCGAAAAACAAAACATATACCTACACTCTGCATAGTCCCTTCGCTCTCCAATGTGATTCCTAGAATCAAAGTAATAGCTGCCGCTTAGTTGACAATCACAAACTTGCAACAGCTGCACCAACACGGCCAACACGACCACGGGGATTACATGGTGACAGAGGCGCCGGATGGAATGGAATTTGGAAGTGCAATCGTCAACGCGGACACTAAAAATAAGCGAAAAAGAGGCTCCCGAATGGCACCCCTGTCGAGGCATGGCATGAGCTGCATGTGGGTCCAAGTCTCCCCTGTCAAATTTTGTCAGTTGACCAATCAGTCGAGAGAAATAGCTCCCCGCCCCCGCCGTTCTGGCCAGCCCTGCCGGGTCAAAACACCCCGCCCGTGGCCCCTAGAAATTTTCTTTGGTGACCTCACCGTAGCCCAGTTGCACACCCAGCCACCTCCCTCCCTCTCCCCTCCCGTCCTCTCCTTTCCCACCGTACTGTGCGAGGTTATCCGTACGAATACCGAGCGTGCACCTCCATCTCTTTGCTGCCCGTCTCTGACTACGCAGTATGTGTGGCGAGTGAACCTTCCATCAGAGAGTTTTAGACTCCAATGATGAGGGGTCGAGGGGGAACAGCCGCCGTTATCGGATCGAACTTGGCACCTTCAGTTCTTTACCCCACCATGGATGCTTTGGAAATTTTCCTCGCTCGTCGAGTCACGAATCACGAATTACGACATTGAGAGAAAATAATTGGGCTCCAGTTCGGCTTCTCTCCCGTCAATCTCGAGTCCAAGTTCGGGTGGGTTCCCTTTCTGGCTTACCCCTCTTCTTCCGTTCGCTGCTGCTGCTACTGCTACTGCTTGTCGGAACCTGGATTGACTCACACAGAACAACCAAAAAAGTTGCATCAAGTTCAACCACGATACCATCATCATCCGGAAGAAACTAGTTGAATTTCAAGATGGCATCCCAGTAAGCCTGATACTCCCGTCGAATGCTTAACTCCCAAACAACTTCCAGTCGCTAATGGATTGATGACAATAGGAGCGTTTTGATGCTCGGCGCGGGCTTCGTGACCCGGCCGACGCTTGACATCCTCAGCGATGCCGGAATCCCCGTTACCGTTGGTACGAAGCTCCCCATCCTACCACCACTACCGCCACTGTCTCCTCCTCTTCCTCCCTACCCGCCCGAACCAGATATGGAGGCACCCGATATCAACCGCCAGACTTAGAATAACTGAAAACTGATCAATTCCTCAACACGCAGCCTGCAGAACCCTCGAGTCCGCCAAGAAGCTGTCCGAGGGCGTCAAGCACGCCACCCCCATCTCTCTCGATGTCAACGACGACAAGGCCCTCGACGCCGAGGTGGCCAAGCATGACCTCGTCATCAGCTTGATCCCCTACACCTTCCACGCGACCGTCATCAAGTCGGCCATCCGCCAGAAGAAGCACGTCGTCACCACCAGCTATGTCTCGCCCGCCATGATGGAGCTGGACCAGGCCGCCAAGGATGCCGGCATCACCGTCATGAACGAGATCGGACTGGACCCCGGTATCGACCACCTGTACGCCGTCAAGACCATTGAGGAGGTCCACCGTGAGGGCGGCAAGATCCTCTCCTTCCTCTCCTACTGCGGCGGTCTCCCCGCCCCCGAGGCCTCAGACAACCCGCTCGGCTACAAGTTCTCGTGGTCCTCCCGCGGTGTGCTGCTCGCCCTCCGCAACGCGGCTAAGTACTACAAGGACGGCCAGGTCGTCGACGTCTCCTCCAAGGACCTCATGGCCACCGCCAAGCCCTACTTCATCTACCCGGGCTACGCCTTCGTCGCCTACCCCAACCGCGACTCTACCCCCTACAAGGAGCGCTACAACATCCCCGAGGCCCAGACCATTGTCCGCGGTACCCTCCGCTACCAGGGCTTCCCCCAGTTTATCAAGGTCCTCGTCGACATTGGCTTCCTCGAGGACGCCGCCCAGGAGACGCTCGCCAGCCCCATTGCGTGGAAGGACGCCACCAAGGCCGTCGTCGGCGCCGCCTCGAGCAGCGAGAGTGACCTCGAAGCCGCCATCGTCGCAAAGGCCCACTTTGAGTCCCCCGAGGACAAGCAGCGCATCCTCAGCGGCCTGCGGTGGATCGGCGTCTTCTCGGACGAGAAGATTACGCCCCGCGGCAACCCGCTCGACACGCTCTGCGCGACGCTGGAGAAGAAGATGCAGTTCGAGGAGGGCGAGCGCGACATGGTGATGCTGCAGCACAAGTTTGAGATTGAGCACAAGGACGGCTCGCGCGAGACGCGGACGTCGACGCTCGCCGAGTACGGCGAGCCCAAGGGCTACTCGGCCATGGCCAAGCTCGTCGGCGTGCCCTGCGGTGTCGCCGTCCAGCAGGTGCTCAACGGCACCATTGCCGAGCGCGGCGTCCTGGCACCCATGAACTCCAAGATCAACGACCCCATCATGAAGGAGCTCAAGGACAAGTACGGCATCTACCTCATTGAGAAGACCTTGTCTTAGAGAGGTCTTGTTGGTCGAGATAGTGTTTGTACGTCTACCTACCGGGTTCAGCTGTCATGCGTGGGAATGGGCAAAAAAAAAAAGCATGCGCAGTTGGACTTTGATGAGAACAGAGTAAAAAGTTTAGACATTGTTCATCGGGAAGAATAGAAAACGCTTTGACGTGTCCATGATGTTTTCCTACATTGTTGCCTAGTCATGTCTGGAGTAAAGCTTGAAGGGAGTAATCGCGTGTATCGGACCATGCATCATTCGGTGGACCGACTGAGTCCGCGGGAATGCTCAGATTGATCAGTTCGCCTTGTGATGATGGGCCAAATAACGGGACGTGGCGGCTACTCATTTCAACTTCTCAGTATGAGAAGAAAGCGGATCTCCACACGAAACGCCATGACCAGACAACATAGGAGAGTGACATATCGAGATTGGAGGGTTCACTTCGTCTGATGATCAATAACAAGGAAAACGATAAGTCCGAATAACCGCGTGGAATGGAATGATGCTTTTTTGCACTTGATTTGCGTTTCTGACTGGTGTGAGTGAAGTGAGGTGAGAGGAGTGTATTAACGTGTCGCATGTGGTGGCGTTGCGTGTCCCAGAGGGATGGATTATTCTACACAGGTGAGTAAGTAGCTTGGGGCGTGTGAGTGTAAGCAAATGTGAGTGCCGTGAGAGTTGTGAGGGATAGTGGATGGATGAGTGTGTGAAATGTGGTTGGCGGTGAGGTGAAATGTGCAATCTGAAGATCGGGCGGCCGCTATTCGATACTAATCGGGGAATTTTAACACATTTCGCAGTTCCCCCCGTCCCAAAACTGAACTTTTTTCAACCTCATGTCTTCCCCCCCCCCCCTCCCATCCTATCCTCTTCCCCATTTTCCTCAACAGAGCCTTTGAAACCCAAATCCGCCATCAGACTGGACCCGGCTAGAACGCCATTCGAACAAGGGACGAAATCAGACGGTGCTCATTCGGCTCTCCCGGGTTATCCGTCTGGGGAAAACGAGCGAGTCCAGTCCTTCTGAGCCGCAAAGCCGTAAGAAAGCTTCAAGCGTAACGCCAAAAGCTGCGAGCGCTCCCCTCGCGACACACTAGGAAACGAAACCAAAGCGAACGACATTATTTCTCAAGGGGGACACACACGCATAGGGCCTGAAACACTGCAAGTCGTCAGCTTTTCTGAGGACCACTAGAGTTCTAGACAGACGGGGGTCGGGAGCAAAGGCTGCAGACAGCGAAACCGGGGGGGGAAAAAGACAAGCGGAACGGAACACGCGAGTCGAATTTGGCTTTGGGCTCTTTGGAAAAGACAGACTGGCAAGCATAGCACGTCTGTACAGCAGCAGCAGCAGCAGCCCAGTCAAGGAAAGCCAGACGAGGGCGGATCTGAGCACACCGTAAGTAATCGTACGTTCGATCACACACCACCAGGCCAGGACACATTGGGCACAGCAAGTCTCTCCCCGCAGCCAACCGTCCAGACTCTCACACATACAACCAGACACAAGCGCAGAGAGACGCACACCCACTCACACTCACACACTCTCGCAGTTGAACACCACACACCCGGCACATTACACACACCCAGCAAATGGTGCAGTACATCCTGACGCCGTGGCGCGATCGCCGCGAGCTGCTCAAGGTTCGCCAGCAGTTCTATCCCGCTGCCCCAGCGTCTGCATCAGCGGCACCAACAACATCCACATCCGCCGCCCGAGCTAGCGGTACGGCAGCAACAGCAGCGTCCGCGGCCGCCGCATCCCAGGCCCTGACAAGGTCTTGGATACGAGGAACAGCTGCACAAGCACAAGCACAAGCACAAGCACCAGCGCCGACGCCATCGTCAAGTTCATCAGCACCAGCAACAAGCACCAGCACCAACAAGACGACCCCAAGCAGCGACAAGCACCATGCCGTCGCGAGGGTGTCCATGTGGATGCAGCGCGGCAACTGCCCGCACATGGTCGAGTCCACGGCCCTGCTGACGGCCGCCATCCTCAGCGACGCCGAGAGCAAGGGCGGCGCCGGCACCTATGCTGTTCGCGCTGCCTACGCTGCTGCCTTCAGCCGGTACGTTTTACATCTTTCTCCAGAATTCCCTCTCTTCTCCCTCTCCTCTGTCTCTAATACTATCACTTGTCTCTTATCTGTTGTCCTCCATCATCTCAAGGGCCAAAAAAGGCTGTTTGTTAGTTCCAAGTTCAAGGTGCGGCGTGCCAGTGAGAGAAAGGAAAGTCTAGTAGGGGTGTTTTACGTTCCGTCCTGCGCCCGCCTCCTCCTCTTCCTCCTTCTTTCTGCCCTTGGAGTCTTGTCTCTAGAGAGTGGCTTGAAACAATCTCAATCCTCCAGGGATCTGGGCCGCCTCTTCTTTTTTGTCACCTCTACATTTGGATTTCGGCGCATTTCACATCTCACATCTTTATTTGACTTTTCTATCATTTTCACCCATCCTTCGACACAAACATACACACGCCCCCCCTCTCACCACCGAAGCACCCTACGTACCGTAGCCCACTCACTCTCACTCCCCCCTACCCGAGTCGGGTCCCGTCTGAAGGGCCATCAACAATCGCCTGATCTGCGCGACTGCTGGAAGCCACATACACCAAGACAGGCTTTCACTTACACGCACACCGCGCCGACCAGCACACCCACACCCCCTCTCTTCCCCCCTTCAAGATTCCCAGCAAGCCGGCGTGGTTTTGCAATTGGGCGTCTCACCTTGTTCGGGAAGCGTCAGCGGTACAGTACACTTGGGAGCTATGGTCTGAGGGACGTTCCTGGCATCGGGGGAAGCTTGGCCTGATTTGCTTGAGGCATGCTAAACTTCCTATGGCCTCTTTGAGGCCCGTCGCTGCAAACCCGGAATGCCATAGCTCGTTTCTCACCCTGTAGTCAATGGGCGCCGGTTCAAGAACCCAGTATGGGTGTGAGGGCTTGCAAGTGTCTTGCCCAGATCATTCATTGCTTGAGCCTCCGGGCTTCGGGAGCCCTGCCTTTTCCGCCTCGGGTACACGGTGCACCCCTTGATTGATCAATCTGCCACTGACACCGCCTGCCGATCGTTCGGTGTTGCTTACACTTCTCTTTTTTCGTCTAGGTTCGTGACCGGGCTCTTGGACGGCCATCAGGATAAGCAACGCAAGCTGAGCATGTACTCGGTGGCAAAGACTATTGGCTTGCCGGCGACCTTTGTCGAGCTGCGGCATCAGGCGACGCACGAGACGCTGCCGTCTCTCGCGAAGCTGCGGTCCGCCGCGCGCAAAGCGTTGGTTTGGATCTGGGAGTATTACTGGCAGCACCTGGGGCCTAATGAGGTCGTGAGCCAGGCCCCCGAAAGGACGGGTCCCGTGGCCGTCGCCGCCGTCTCTGCCGCCCCTGTGCGCCGCGAAGTCGTGGTCGCGTTTCTGGAGGAGCAGGACGCTGGGAGGAGGGCTGAAATGAGGAAATGGATTGACGGGCTGGACGAGAGTCGGTTGCTGGCGACACTGGAGAAGATTATTGAGGCGCCGCCGAGTGAGGCCGTCATGCTTGCGGCTCAGCGGTTATCAGAGGACATTGCGCGCAAGGGACAAGCAGATGGGCAGGGCGAGATGGAGGAGGACGAGGCTTCCGAGAGCGCTGGCACCGGATGGGCCAAGTTTGAGGGGACTTGGAAGCCGCGACCTATTGGCGTCGCGTAAATTGTCGACCCCAGCCGCAGGTGTCATATTTGAATATTCAAACATTATACCATCATCACTCCATATCATCTATGAAAGAAAATGCTCTTGCCTGTGAGGTATTTAGCATAGAGATATCACTGATGGAGTTGTTGTTGCAGTGCACATGCGACATCACGTGGGGTATGACGATGCCAATTGGATGCGGGTCGTCTGTCGTGCCCCCCTCGCGGATTTGTAATAACGTCACCGTGACTTGCCGAGGAGCTCCCGAACGCAACAGCTCACAGCTCTAATCCCCAACTGACTGCAGAAGAAACAGCTCTCACTACACTGCACAATTGCCTTTCATGAATACCCTCATCGCAAGGAGACCATTACTGAGACAAAAACTCGCCACCGTTACAGCTGCAGTGAGTTTTTTTCTCTAGTGTTTGCCCGTTCAATTCTAGGTTGATTAGCTATTTGTGAGAGATTGGGAAGCTTATACAAGGTGGATAGCTCACATTTGCCAACGCTATGCATATCCAGTCGATTCCCATGTGTACGTCACCTCCCGCAAGCTTCTTGATGCCCTTTTCGTTGTCAAACACGAGAGGATGGGAATGAGAGGCAGCAGACGGAGTATATGTTTCCATCATACTGGCATGAGATTTTAACTTGTTTTCAGGGGTGGGGAGTAGTAACAACTACGCCTACCTGGTCAAGGACGACAAGACCAATGATGCCGTCATCATTGACCCGGCCAACCCGTCCGAGTAAGTGTTTCTCCCCCATTACTCATGAATCTGAGGGAAAGAGGAAGGGCATCTTGGACTGCGGTTGCGTCGTGTATCGAGCTTAAGCTGATAACCCTCTCCAGAGTAACTCCCGTGTTGCAAAAGGCTATCAAGAGCGGCGAGATCAACCTCACAGCCATCGTCAACACGCACCAGTGAGACTCTCGTCCTTAAGAAAAATTCACAAACGACGCGGGGAATCCCCTCGAGACCTTGTGCGCGTATCTGACATCTCTGACAGCCACTGGGACCACGCAGGCGGAAACAAGAAGCTGGTACGTCTTGGACCCCCCCCTCACCCCCCTTTTTCGTCTCGCCCGGACTCACACACACACAAAAACAGCAAGGCGAGCTGGGCCTGAATAAGCTCCCCATCATCGGCGGCAAGGACTGCGAGGGCGTGACGCGGACGCCGGGCCACGGCGAGTCGTTCAAGATTGGCGAGGGCATCGCCGTCAAGGCGCTGCACACGCCGTGCCACACGCAGGACAGCATCTGCTGGTTCATGCAGGACGGGGACCAGAAGGTTGTGTTTACGGGCGATACGCTCTTCATCAGCGGTGGGTTCCCATCGTTTGCCCGATTTTTTTCCACCAACTTATTGCCTCCTTTTCGTCCCTTGGACGGTGACAATGCGGGGCGGGTTTCATCTCTCGATAATCATCACCATCACGAGGGAGAAGATGCCTTTGCGAAGAAGAGGTTCCCTGTTGGGGGAAGCAGGGGCGTAGCTGCGAGAGATTCTTTTGCTGACTATCCTTCCTTACTTTCCGACAGGTTGCGGCAAGTTCTTCGAGGGTAACGCGGAGGAGATGCACAGCGCGCTGAACAAGACGCTGGCCGCGCTTCCCGACGACACGGTCGTGTTTGTGAGTTTCTTGGACCTCCCATCAAACTTGATCCAGGAACGGGATGAAGCTTGGAACAAGGGGGGGGGGGGGGCATCATTGCTGACAGAGCACAAACAAAGCCCGGCCACGAATACACCAAATCCAACGTCAAGTTCGCCGCGTCGGTGCTGCAGAACGAGGCGATCCAGAAGCTGCAGGCGTTCGCGGAGAATAACAAGGAGACGCAGGGCAAGTTTACGATTGGTGATGAGAAGGTATGTTATTCCTAGTGTCCCCCCCCCCCCCTTTCGCAACAACGTGGAAGTACGAGAGTAAGGTTGGGGAAGATGAGCTGACGACTGCTTGAAAACACAGAAACACAACGTCTTTATGCGCGTCGAGGTGAGTTTTTACAGGCCCTTTGCCCCGTGGAGCCTCGCGGGCACTCTCGCCTTGGAGAGACACAGAGGCTGATGGTGGTATTTGTCACGAAATAGGACCCCGAGATTCAGAGGGTGACGGGGGAGAGCGAGCCCGTTTCCGTCATGAACAAGTTGCGTGAGATGAAGAATAACTTCAAGTGAGTAAGTGGCAGGTTTCCATCCCCCTCCCGTTTCATCGTATGGTATTCTTCTCCTACGGCGTCGGCCTGCTATGGGACGTGGCACTTGGGCCGGTAGTAATGCCATGAGCAAGTCTGACGGATGAATAGTCCACCTCCTGATTCCAAGATCTAACATGATGAGATTGCTCAAATGGAGGTCGGCAAGTTTAGGCCATAGGACATATTGCAAGAGTTTGAAGTAGGCAGTATGCGAGAGCAGTCTCTTGACCGCGAAATCAAAAGCACAGCAGCCACGTCTGTTACTACTTCTCAGACAGTGAACATCAAAGTCATCAAAACTACATCATCGCGTCACGAGCATGTCTCCCACAGGTCCTAAACGCGACAACCACAAGTGATTGAAGCGAGAGTGTGAGCCGGGGAAGGGGCGGTACGTCCTGCGACGCGCCCCCGTTTGTTTAATCTTGCTTCACTGTCCACACGTGCTCGCTCTGGGTAAGAAAGCGGCAAGCTCTAGCATTTTTTAGAAGCTGTGTCATGTCATGTTTTTGGTTTTCTTTTCAAGTTCGTCTCAATGTTTTGAAGACGGTGGTTCTTTGTCTAGTCCCGCTGGGGACGAGGAAAGGAAACCACGAAGAGGGTGCCATGTTTGGCGGGTTGTGATGCCTTGCGGGTGTGGCAACGGCATGTTGCAGCTGGAAACTCCCCGAGTTGGAAGCGCCGCGTAGGAAGAGGGCATGAATAGCCAAGTGGTGTGATCCATTTTGAAGTTTGGTATGAATGCAGGATCCCAGATTTGCTGGGCGCAGGTCCGGCGCGGAGACCGTGGAGCTTTGAGTATGAGGCACACTTCCTCTAGGCAGCTTTGACCTATGGCAGAGTGTGGAGGCGGTTTTGATAGATCCGTAAACTAATGTTCTCTTCGACCACGTTGCGTAGGTCTCGAGGATTTTGGTGAAAATGGTCCAGGTGATCGGCAATGGGAAGTGAAGCAGAGAGCGAAGTGTGCGCGCAGGATCCGGTGAAGGGCCTGCTTGTCGTCTGTCTCTCTGTTCAATCGCAGGGCGCCAGAGCTGGTTTGGGAGGTATCATGGTTGAGGTAGTCGACGCTTCTCACAGTGAGTGAGTGTCGTGAGGTTGTGATGGTTGAGAAAGGGAAGGAACCGTAGTTTGCGGAAGCTTTTATGTTGGAATTTTTTGCAACGGCGGGGCGGGCTATCGTGCGAGCGAAACTTCGCGCACATGGTCAGTGCACTGTATCCGAACACGCGCGGCTCCACAACCCATTAACGCGTCCCCGGCGCTCTTTCGTCCCGGCGCAACCATCGTCATTGACCTCCAGCTCTCAAGCACCTGCTTCGCTCGTGCTTGCGACGACCACGTTTTCCAAATCCCACCACCTCTCCCGCAGCCAACAAAACTCCTCCAAATCACCGAATCAGCATCTCAACTCCATCCAAGATTTCCAAAATGGTAAGCCACCACCACCCTCTTCGCAATCCTCAACCCACCCAAAACTAACACGCCAATTCCAAAGCCCGCAAAACGCAAACCGCCAACCCAAAAACCCTCCTCCTCAACAACAGACGTCCCCCGCCCCCGCGCCTCCAAACTCGCAAAAGAACACAATATCTCCGCCCACGAAGAGCGCGAGATCCGCGAAGCCTTTTCCCTATTTGCCGAACCCCTCAAAGGCTACTCCAAAGAAGGCGTCATCCCCACATCAGATGTCCGCTCCTGCCTCGTCGCCCTCGGCATCCCGCCCTCCTCCCGCGACGAGCAGGCCGAGTTCGTCGAGATCTTGGACCCCGAGGGCGAAGGCTTCGTCGCCTACGAGCCGTTCTTCGCCGTGTGTGCGTTGAAGTATCATCAGAGGGAAGAACGGGGCGGAGGGGAGGCGAGGAGGAGGGAGGTGGAGGAGGCGTTTGGGCTTTTCACGGGGGCCGGGGCTGGCGGAGGTTCTTCGGCGTCGGGTTCTGCTGGCCCACGGGATGTCATAACGATTGCGGATCTCAAGAGGGTTGCTGCCGTGCTTAGGGAGGACGTCAAGGACGAGGTGCTGCGGGATATGATCCTCGAGGCCAACGGCGGCGCGGGCGTAGGCAGGGGAGTGAGGAGGGACGAGTTTGAGGAGGTTATGCGGCGGGCTGGGGTTTGGCGATGATTGCGCGCGCGCGTGCGATCTACCTCACTGGCTGGGTTGGACGTTGAGAGGCTTCGTGGTCTAGGTGGCGGGTTTGGTCCTGCATTATACCCCATTGTGCTGGCGTTTGGGAGGCACGGCGATTGCATTTTCCTTCTTTCATTGTTTTAGGGCGCGCTTATAGCATCTACGGGCTACTTCTATTATCATGGTTCGAACTTCAATCCCACAGCTTCAAGGTTTACAATCCACACGAGTAACTGCAATATGCTGCAGTCCCTGGAACACGTTGGTAAATACTGGTGGTAATGATGATTCTATCTGATATCGGTGCAGCCCATATGGCACCCGTGGGGTGTGATATCTTCATCGCCCCCGAGAGTTTGTATTTCCATGCTAACAAAAGAAGAGACAACAAGAAAACGCCCATGACATATGCTTATTCCGGCCTTGTTCCTTGTGTGTTGGTGCGTTGCCAATTACCGTGGCCTGAGATTGAGTACGGACTTAACCTGATTTGCCCAACAAAACAAAACACATATAAATTCCCATTCCCGTATGTTTGGTGAGATTAAGACCAAGTGAGGTTCCTCCTCACCGTTGTGTCCGTCACTGGATGGGGGTTGCCTTTTGTGCAGAGAAGAGAAAGGGCTCGGGAGGGGGATTCATGCAGAGGCCACGCTGTTGGGCCTCGGAGCCGCAGCAAAGACCCTCTCAGACCCCAGCAAGGCCCTAGAATGGGGCAGAGTGCGGAGGGACGCGGCCGGCCTTCTAAGCCGGCGCACCTCCGGCCGCAGCCTTGGCCTTGTCAGCGGCCGCCTTTTGTGAGTCGATAACGACTTGGAGCTCGGGAGGTGCCTTGAAGCCGGCATGGTCCTGGTGACGCTTGTAGAAGTAGTTATCGGCCTTGGGGCGCAGCTCGGCGGGGAGCTCTTCGAGTACGCATTCCAGGATAGCATCGACGGATTTCTGCTTGGAGCCGTCGCGGTGCCAGATGGAGATGAGGTGGGAGTTGAAGCGGACGGACAGACCAACACCGCAAATCTGGTCGTCTGGAGGTAGTCAAGGGTTAGCTTAGTTGCGCTTGTGGTCAAGGAGATGCAAGAAGACACGGAAGAGAGGGCGACATACTGTCGTCTAGTACGCTCTGCAGCTTCTCGCCAATTGCAAGAAGCTGAACGCGAGTCCATACATCGGGACCAATGTTCTTGGGCACACGGAAGGTCCAGGCGCCGCCGTTGATGTTGCGGCGGTCCTCCCAGATGGGCTTGAAGCCCTGCTTGAAGAGGTATATGGACTCGCGCATCTTGATCTGATCGACGGGTGTGTTGTTGTTGTACTTCCAAAAGTCCTGGACGGATTCTATCTGCGAACCAAGCTGTTCCAGCTGCACCTTGTACTCCTCATCGTTGCCCGACTTTTGCTGGTCCTTTGCTTGTCTGGAGTAATGAGTATTGGGCGTTAGTCTTGAAAGCTTCAGGGGTGGTGGGGGTGGGGTTGCGCAAGATCTGGGACAGGCGCCTGAGGACAGACGCTGTGGTAATTTCAAGAGGAGCACTCACTTGTCAAAGTAGACATTCCAGTAATGTTGTGTGGGCAGAGGGCGCATGGCCTTGAGGAAGTTGCGCTTTGCATCGTCACGCTGGTCGGCCGGGGAGCTGACACTGGGCGAGTTGGGGTCGGTTGTGCTCTGGGAAAGCCCCGACAGGCCACGGGTGAAGAGGGCAGGTCTGGCGGCCATGGCGTGTGAAGTGGTTGGGAGGGCGGTGGAAAGGGGGTATCGAGATGAAAATGCACAGGGAGGGCAACAGCAGGTAAAGTCGCAGCAGCAAGAAGACGGAAAAGGGTGTCGAGTGTTGAGTCGCAAGGCAAATGTCTGGTCGAAGGTGAAGTTGAGGTCGTATGTTGCGTCGCTTGCCCGCTGGACCTGGTCGGGGATCGGGGGTCGGGTAGGCGTGACCGAGAGAGGTACCTTAAGAGGGACGACGGACGGGACACAGTGACAAGTTACACGCTGCCAGACTGAGATGCCCTTGCTTTTTTGGGTCGCTGGTCGTTGGTTGGCTGAGTGGAGTGCGGCGGTGCCTAATGTAGCAACGAGGGGCAGAAGTGGGCAGGCCGTTGACGGGTCGGGGGACGGGGCACGCTTAAGTGCCTGAAGGCCGGCGTCCTTTACTGTATAGTTGCTGTGTGCTGGTTGCTGACTTGGCTTGTGTGTGTGGTAACGTGGTTTTGGCCCGGTAGGAGAAGACGTGGAGAGAGACGGGAGGCTTGGGCTTGTTTGGAAATCGCCAATGAAAGGACCGGTTTGGTGGGTTTCTTGGACTTGTCTGGGGGAGTACAGATACAGCCTGTTCGTATGTATCCGTAGTCTGTAAGGAGTATCCGTATTGGCAGATCAGACAGCGAGATGGCGCGGGGAGGGGAGATTTGATTGTCAGGAACAGATGCCCTTGTCTTGCAGCTTGCTTTGGCGCCCGGTGGTGTTCCTCTCAAGTGTCAATTACCTAGTGCCAGGGACCCGACAGAGGGACACAAGTGGACCAGAAGATACCTGTTAGACAGAACAAGGCGTGACGACTGATGACAGCAGCTGGGGATCGGGTTCCTTGCAACTCTGAATGACTCGACGGTTGTATTCAGGGAGTTGGTGACAAAGAATCGTAAAGATACAACAGGACGACGACCGAGGGAGAGGCGGTAGAGAGAAAGGGAAGGAAGAGACCCGGGGACGAGTCCGCGGCGAGGTAGGGGTATTAAGCAAGAAGCTGTCCATCTCACTTCATCCCATCTCTCGTCCCGGCGATACTCAAGATACCTCGATGGTGCTCCTCTTTCTTGTGCTTCAGAGCATGGAGGGCGGATACATTCTGCGAGGTACCTCACCACAGGGGGCATCAGAAATCTAGGGCGGCAACACAAGACGACACTCCAGGCGGTCCCAAAGAGCAGGGCATCTTTGCTATGGGCGGGATAAGTAGAGGGCGGGAGTCAGTCTAGGAGATCTGTCTGGATAAGGTAGAGTGGGCAGGGAGCTTCGAAATCCGGTCAAAGGTCACTCCGGGGCTTAGATCTGAGGTCTGAAGCACAGCAGGACAGGGCACCTTGGTCCTGTGGGCAATGGCATATGAGCCCCGAGAGAACAAGTGAGAAGTGAGCAGGCTCCAGACTCAACTTCTCAAAAGAGTCGTCAGAATCTCGACGGGGGAAAGGGGAAAAGGAGACGGGACGATACACGAACCGTCCGAGTGTACAATGTCCAGTATTTCCTGGCTGCACGGGTACGTACAGATACATATGTACCTTAGGTACTCTGCAAGGTACAGGCGAATGAGGACGTCTCGGACGCGATTCCTGCTCCTGCTTCTGCTCCTGCTGCCCATGTGGTGGTGGTGGAAGGAACCTGCCGCTGCACACATGAGGCACGCAAGCGAAACGGCAACGGCATCCTCCTGCGGTCCTGCCGTAGCCTGCCGTGTACCTAGGTAGGTACGGACCCAAGGTGACATTCCGCGGCAGCCGTCACGGCCGTCCGTCCCGATCTGACTGTGATGTCTGGAGACGCTGGAACCGACTGGCATTGGCAACTTGGCAAACCCAGAGCCGACGAGTTTATCAACGGCTGGGACGGTATCACAGTAGTCGATCCAGAGGAAGCGAAGAAGAAATCCGGGAGATGGTACTTAGAACTTTGGTGGGAACATCTTACCGCCCTGAAACATCCAGCCGCCGGCGCGGCCAGTGATAAGTCGCGGCGACGAGGGTGGACAAGGGGAGCAAAGACCGGATGTTCAGGTTCACGTTCGAGAAGGAAGGTTATTACCCACGTTACTCCGTAATACCATACAAATACAGCTGTTCTTTTCGGTTCGGCGGTTCCTGAGGGTGGTGTAAATGAGCAGGGTCGCCGCCTGGCAGGGGGGTTTACCAGCTTCCAGGAACAGGGACCAGGAACGAGGCGTGTGCCGCCATGGGATTGCAAGGTGCCTTACGCGCAGATGTCGTTGGAAACCACAACTTACGCAACCTCCCCTCGAGTTTCCAACTTGTCGAAGAGGAGCTGATCCGAGCGAGGCCAGATGCCTTGCCTCCCTCGATGAGCAGTTGCCTGCCAATAATGGTCAAGAGCATATTGTAAAGTGACTGCAAGCCTGAATTTGTCTACCGTGGAAGAAGGCACATTCTTCTGGATACCTCAGTCAACATGTGTCCAGCTATGACCCTTAACATCCCATCCAACGTCTGAGCTGCTCAACATTATCAAACGGAGCGGAGAAGGAGATGCACCCACAGGATCAATTGACTCTCGGAAAACTTCGTCATAGTCACACTAATGCACGCTCTCTAACCACTCGCACACTTCAAAGCTCGAGAGTCGGGTTCGACGCCCAGCTCAACCAACAGCCCGTTCACTCAACCTTTTTCTCGCGCTCTTCGCCCTTTTGGCAATCCTCTAGAAATCACTCGCATATCAGACAGGAACGAACCCCTTAAAGTCAAAAAGGAAGAAAACTTGAGATGGAACTCGAGGACGGTATATCGCAGAAAGTCGCGACGTTGAATATCCGAGACGTGTTGGCTCCTACGAATGCATCCCCGCGGAAAGCACGGCAAACAGGGCCACACGACGATGAGCCGCCGCCATATACAGACCACGAGTTGACTAGCAAACTAACTCCTCACGATCTTCCGTGACGATCAAAACATTGTAAGGCAAACCAACTGATCGCAAGCTGCTTCGGGCAGCCTCGCCGGAGAAGAAAACTAAAAACCCAAACGGCGTTTGCACCCGAACTATACTTAGGGAATAAACATCAAGCTTCATCCAATACTCAATTCAACAGTCCAGATGTGCCTCTTGAATTGGCACACCCAAACGAAAGCCGTTTACCTCGATGTCCTCCAACTCTCAAAACTCCCGTCGGACATTGGATTCCTAGGGCTGGCAAGTTTGACACTCAACACGGACACAGACGCACGTCAAAGTTTCGACGGCCAACGGCTTCCGGAGCACGTTGCCCGCCGTCGAAAGAACTAAACCGCTGTCTCGAAACTCCTCCCCCTGACAATGTAGTTCGCTGGCTTGCTTCGCCGTCGTCTCTTCCGGATGCTTCATCCATGCCAACCACAAACCCTGTCTGACCCTAACAACGACATCCCTCTTCGGCTCTCGACGATCGGCGTATTCCCAATTTGCAGTACTCTCAATGGGACAGTTGACTGTGTATTTCTAGAGATGGCGCAAGCGGCACGTAGCGGCCCCCGACGACCCTCCCGCGCCTTGCTCCATGCACCTTGACTTGTGAAGCACCGCCAGAACGGATCCCCTGTTTGAGATCAATGGGAACAAGCAAAGAACACCCGCCCACTTTCCATGAGATCTGACAGGCCGGATCGTGTTCCTGCGAGTTTCAATCGTGACGTGTCCCGACAGAGGAAACAGCCATTTATCCACACTGGGTTATCATCACTGGTCTCAACCCAGTACGAGAGTCTTCATGTGCCATGTACTATGTGTTGACTGCAGACTATGGATTCTGTCTCTCTCTCTCCTAAACAAAGTAAACCCCGAAGAACAAGAAGGACTCCCCAAACACCATGCTTACCATTGTCGTCTTGGCGCTTCGTAACAATCAATAGCCGAGCTCTGTCGCCCGCAACTCATTCATCAAACCCCCCTACACATATAACTTTAGAAGTTCATCTTGCTTCCTGCAGATGGCGCCTCGCCGACCCAGCGTTCTTTGTCGTCTCCAATCTTCCTTCGGAACATGCCCAGATCGCTCAGCAGACTGCGCATGTACTCCTGCATGTCGCTGGCATTATCCTCCATAACGTCCGAGTCGTACGCCGTGTCGTCCGAGTCGTCGTACAATGACTCGGCGTCCTCGCCATTCTCCTCCTTGCCCTCGAGACCCGCCGACTTGGCCCTCTGAGCCTCGTCCTCCACTTCCTCGGCCTCCGGCGGCTTGATCGTGACGGCCGGGATCGGGTTCTTGAGACTCTCGAGCGCGAGCTTGAGATGCAGCCGCAAGGCCTCGTTCTCTGTCTGCAGGCTACGAATTTTGCCCTCGGCGACGAGACTGCGCTCCTCCATCATGCGCTGCATCGTAGCCACGTGGTTCTGGTACTCTTCGAGCTTTTCCTCCTGGTCCTTGGTATCCTTCTCCCGCCGGCGCGATTCCGACACTGACAGCTGAAGGGCTCGGATCTCGTCCGCCATAGCTGCGATTTGGGCATCGCGCTCCGCTGACGAGATCTGGTCTTGGTTGACAACCGCGCGCGTGCGGATGCGCTTGGCTTGATCTGCGTAGCGAAGCGTCGACAGAGTCTCCTCGTAATCCGACGGCGCGATGCAAGCAATCATTGCCGTTTTACTGTTGCCTCCCAGCGAATCCTTCAACAGCCACGTGAGAATTGAGTCTCGGTACGGCACGACGTCTTTGCTGCGCTTTCTCGAACCCGCCTTGGCATCGGCGAGCGCTCCTATCACTCGGCCAAGGGTCGTCAGCGACTTGTTGATGTTGCTGCCTTCGCGAAGCCGCTGGCCTGTTGCCTCGGTCGCCTTGGCACGTTCGCTGCCAGCCAGATCGACCAGGCGGATACGCGAACTTCTCTCCGTCGTCTCGTCCGTTTCCATGTCATGGTGGATCTGCTTGAGCATGATTGTGAATACCGCGTGACTGCGACTACTCGTGTCGTTCATTCTGGTGCTGGCCACGGTTCTCGACCTGTCTCCCATCGTCATGTATCGCAAAATCTCATTGAGATTGCGGACAGGAACCTCGGTCAGATCCTTGACGTACGGTCCTTCCGTTGGCGACTCCCTGATTTTGAGATAGTACGGCGGCTGGTTAGCCACAACCGGGACAAGCAGGTCCCGGACGTGCTCATTGTAGACCTCAAAGTATGACACCCTGACGTTGTAGGAAATGTTGGGCGTCTCGTTTTGCGCAGATTCGATTCGCTCGAAGAGATCCTCGCACGTTCGAGGAATCAAGCCCGGCTGGTCTGGTGTTCCCATCATCGTATAACTCTTTCCGGAACCTGTTTGACCGTAGGCGAAGATGCATGTGTGATAGCCCTCAAAGTTGTGGTCAAGGAATTCCTCGCCCAGACTGTTGTAGACGTCTTCCTGGTGGGCATAATACTTGTCGCTGAGATCATGACTCCAGAAAGAATTGTCGAATGTAAAATTCTTTTCTTCGATAACCTTTCTCGTCTTTGCTTTCGCGTTCGCAGGGTCGCTGTCGTTGGGCACGAGAAGCGTCGTTTGCTGGGTGATGGGGTCCATCTCCACTAGGCACTCGGCACCACGCTCGATTTCTGGTTTCTTTCATCAGTCTCCTTCTTCTTTTTCTTCTACGTCGTCCTAGAAAGCCTTCGACATACCTCTGGGCAGAAACGCCCGCACTCGGACAACGACACGAACATTGCCTCCCCCGTCCATTCTGACCGGTCCATCGTGCGACCGCAGAGACGGGGTTGAAGCAGATGAGTAGAGAGCCGGCATCTCATAAACCGCTGGCGGTAGCAGTCGATGATCGAGAGACAATCCACAAAGGGTCTGCTTCAATTCTTCAAAAATTGCGTGGTATCGTTGCCGTTGCGAAGCCCACATCCCAACTCGAGGCGGTCGGGCTTGTTTACTCGGTTGCCCAATTGGGAGGAAAGCTGGTGGGGCCGAGTTGCCGGGGCAGTGACGCCACACTAGCTATGCGGTGTGTTGTTCGCCTGGGGTAGGAACGCAGGGGTGTTGCAAGTACGTTCTTGGAAAGTGTCGTCGATTTGCTTTTTGTTGGCAAATGAAATGATGGAAAAGGGATTCAGATTCAATTGGGTAAGTGATGGTTTTTTTGGTCTTTGCTAGACGGAGGAAGGGCCGCTTATTCACAGAGATGCGCAAAAAGGCATCGGTGCCGGTGTGTTGTGGAAGAATCAGATGACAGACAGTCGTGCTCCATTCGTGTAAACAAAAGTCTAGTGTACACTCGGCACCTCTTTGACGGTGTCAACGCCCAACCTGTACCAAACGCCACGCAGTCTAGTGTATTCTATAACTGTTACCGACGCAAACCAAGTTACGGCCGTCTAAACCCCTTGCCCAGAAGCTCTGAGCCCACCTCTACGATGATCTTCTCATCTGGGAATTGCTTCTTCTTGGCCAAAATCGTGTCCTCCGCATCCATCGCCCTCAGCAAATCCGAGACCTCACTGTCACTTGGTGTGCAGTAGACCAAGTAACCCAGTGCAAGAAGCATACCCTGCAGTGCCTCTGGCGAAGACTCCTCTTGTCCAATGGCTTCTAACACCGATGCAGCCAGCTCTACCGCGTCGCCGTCTGGCAACACGTCTCCAGGCTTCTCACGTCTGACTTTGTTGCTGAAAAGCGCCAAATTGAACATGAGGGACGAAGCGGAAACACGAACATTGTTGTGGCTGTCGTCTAGGAAACTGGAAGATATTAATTGGATAACGGGTGCTCTCAACGTCTCGTTTCGTAGTATTTCCTCCGGGAAGAGAGGCGTGGAAAAGAAGTTGCACGCCATTTGCAGTGTAACCAAACGCAAAGCGTACGGGCATTCGCTGTGTGAGTTGACGAGTCTAAGGATTGCCAAAACGGTCGTGTGTCCCTTTTCCTCAGCAAAGTAGCCGCTGAACCTTGCATCGACGAGCGCACATCTAAACAAGTCGACGATGGTGAAGAGAATCTCAACAGGTAACGTCTGCACTGATTTTTGCAAGAATCCCGAGAATTCGCCTAGGTTCGGGAGGACTGCGGCCGCGGCGCCCTGCTTATCGCGGGCCTCGATGAACTGCTTGGTTGCCTGCACGGCTGACTCGTCTGCTGCCGAACCCATCTTGCCCAGAAGTTTGGCCAGTGGCGGTACTTTTGAGAACAATACCGGCTTTGCGTTCGGGTTAGAAAAGCTGGGTAGTTTGAGGGACTCATGAGGGTGCCGAGGCCAAGCCATCTGTAGCAGGAGCTGGACGTTCCCCCGAAGAGCAGCAGGATCAGCGCCTGCCCACTCATTCTCCTTTTCTCCATGCAAATAGGTGATGAATGTCGGAGTTGCTCGAGGATAGTCCTTTCCGGGAAGCGGCGTCAATTGGGCCACGTCTACTTTGATGAACGTCGCTTTGCTACCTGCCTCTGCGGACACCTCATCAAATATGGGTGAGATGGCCCTGCAAGGTGGGCATGTAGCGGAGGTGAAGAGAACCACAGCGCAAGACTTTCTCGCTGATTCAAGGGCTGCATCTAGCTCCTGTGAGCTACTCACAATCCTGATGTTTGATTGGGGTTTTGTGGGTTGTGGTGCGGATCCGTATCCTGGAGGAGTTGAGTTGTTCTGGATACCAAGGATTGAACCATTTTGTCTGTTGGAGTTTATGACTTGGTTGAGTTGAGGCATGAGCATTCTGCCCATTGGAGAGCTGAGTACGGCATCTGGCATCTTGATGATATGTTCTGGGATGCCTTTCCCAAGCAGGAACTGAGAAAATGAGTCTGAGAAGTTGTTGCAGTTGTGTCTCCAGAGATCGTAGGCCTGGTGAAAGGTTAGTCTTTGTTAATTCGAACATATGTTAAGCCCACCTCGGCTGTAAAAATTGGCCTTAATGAGTCTAGGAACTCTTCAATGACCTCCATGGGTAGTTCTGTCTTTCCAAGGAAGATACGCTCCATAGGCTGGCCCAGATGAGATGTACCCGGAGTGATGTCAACGATGCCACCATCGTAGACGTACTCGCGTCCGTTGAGTTGGATGGATGTGTGATAGATCGCATCGAGGTGAAATCCAAGCATGCCTTGGGACATTTGCCGCGCAAGCCCGCGGGATAGGTCGTACGTTAAGAGATGCACGTCCATCTTGAGAGGCTTCGCTCGGTCTAGTCCGGGATCTGGCTTCTTTACTAGGAAGTAATGCAGTTCAGTCGAAAAGTGGGAAGGTTGTATCTTTGTTGACTGATGGAAGGTAAGATTGAAGCTGTGTACGGAAGAGAGTTCGATCTTGGATTTCTTAATTTTCTCTCTGGAGGATGCTCATATCTATCATTACGCCGGAGGCAACAAGACGTAGTCGTAATAGTTATTGCACGAGAAGCTTCCAGGGTCCGGTCACAGTGTCAGATCCGATGGAGGCAGCGCCACACGTGGCTTGGAATCTAAGGTAAGGTACCTAGGTAGGTGCCGACTAATCGATAAGATGCATAGGTATATCCACCGCCTGCAGATAAGGTGCCAGACTGCAGTACGTAATCTTAGGTAAGCTCAAATGCCAGCCGTGCCTTGACCACAAGCTGATCACCTCAGGAATGATCAGAACATGCCCGGCAAATGGGCCCTACCTTAATGCGTGGGTGAGGTGCCGTGTGAAGGAGCGACTGCGCAATTTAGGGGGCGTAGCAGGGAGTCAGTGGCCCCGCCCCCTAATCATAGAGCCGGCCATTAAGGTGAACGCGACAGGAGGATGGCCTCCAAGGTCAACATTTCAGTGGGCTCGCGTTGTCCCCGCTGGCGCACCTATGCACCCAAGATTAGCAAACTGCCAGCTCAAGACAGGGATGTCTGGATTTTGATGACCTCTCAGAAAAGAGAAAATCTGCAATTGCCATCGAGCCCCCTTCGAGACCAACCTAATCCAACCGTACCTTGCATCTCCTCACCCCCCTTGGACGACGTCTCCCTACATATACGACTTCTGCACTTTTCTCTGGGTCCAGTGCCTCCATCCCATCTCGTCCGCTCCTTTTCTTCGGCCATCCGCACCTTTTTTCTGTTTCCTTGAGTCGCCCCGTGCTGCTCCCTTTGGTAATCGGCCCTCGGTTCAGCCTAGTCCACTCCTTTGTCCCATCTCGACGCCGCTGTACCTCGAATGCGTTACTCTGTGTTCCCCTAAGCACCTACGACAAGCGACCAATGCGAAGAACATCTGTGTCGCTGCCGACGAAGCAACCCGCGCGAGATCCACACGAAAAGCCTGGTCGATTTGCACCCGCTCAACGGAATACTGGCCTGTTCGCGGCGTTCAGAGATATGTCTCAAGCACAGAAGACGAGGTGGATGAGGACGGGCGCCATCGCCTTCTTCGTCGTCTTCCTCTTCTGGTACCTGTCTCCTAGAGGCGTCAACGTCTACAATGGCGGGGGTAAGTCGTGGCTCAGTGAAGCCCATTGGATCAACTTGAAACTAATACATCTACAGCAGTATCGAAAGGCGGCGCTGGTGGCCAGGTCCCTGCCGATGCTTCGTACGGCACTGACAAGTGCACTCAATCCAGCTCCAAGTCTAAGCCCATCGTACAGTACGTCCTGATGATCGACGCCGGCAGCACTGGATCCAGAATCCACGTCTACAAGTTCAATAACTGCGGCGCCACCCCCGAGCTGGAGCATGAGGAGTTCAAGATGACGGAGAAGTCAGTTGGTGGTCTCAGCAAGTATAAGGACGACCCCGAGGCCGCTGCCGCTTCTCTCGACGCTCTGATGGAGGTTGCCATGACCAACGTTCCCGACAAGCTCAAATCCTGCAGTCCTGTCGCGGTGAAAGCGACCGCTGGACTCCGCATGGTCGGAGCTGAGAACGCCGAGAAGATCCTCGCTGCTGTGCGCAACCGCCTCGAGACCAAGTACCCCTTCCCCGTCGTTGCCAAGGAGGATAACGGAGTTGCCATCATGGACGGCGCCGACGAAGGTGTCTACGCTTGGATCACTACCAACTACCTCCTCGGCAAGATTGGCGGCCCTGACAAGAGCCCCACCGCTGCCGTCTTCGATCTCGGCGGTGGCTCGACCCAGATTGTCTTTGAGCCCACCTTCAAGGGAGCTGCGGACGGAGGCATGCCGGAGAAGCTCGCCGAGGGTGACCACAAGTACGACCTTGCCTTTGGTGGACAAAAGTTCGAGCTCTACCAGCACTCCCATCTGGGATATGGCTTGATGAGCGCCCGCAAGGCCGTGCACAAGCAGCTGATTGAGGAGATCTTTGAGAGCAAGAAGTCCGACGACAGCTGGGTCAAGCAGCCCATCATCCACCCCTGCATTGCCCCCGGCATGGTTAGAGAGGTTGAGGTCGAGCTCGACGAGAAGCACCCCCTCGGCAAGACTGTCACCTTCAACATGACCGGTCCCTCCCAGGCCGCCCCCGCTCAGTGCCGCAACCTCGCCGAGAAGATCCTGAAGAAGGAAGAGAGCTGCAAGCTTGCGCCCTGCTCTTTCAACGGTGTCCACCAGCCATCATTGGCCAAGACCTTTGGCCGCGAGGACGTCTACATCTTCTCTTACTTCTACGACCGCACTAAGCCGCTCGGCATGCCCGACTCCTTCACCCTGCGCGAGATGCACGACCTTGCCAACTCTGTCTGCGGCGGTGAGAAGTCTTGGGATCTCTTTGCCAGCATTCCTGGTGCCATGAAGGAGTTGCAGGACCGTCCTGAGCACTGCCTTGACCTCAACTTCATGATGGCTCTTCTCCACACCGGCTACGAGATGCCTATAGACCGTGAGGTCAAGATTGCCAAGAAGATCAAGGGTAACGAATTGGGTTGGTGCCTTGGTGCTAGGTAAGATTTGATTCATCGAGTGGAAAGTTTACAGAAGCTAACATATCACAGCTTGCCTCTTCTCTCCCCCGGATCTGGTTGGAAGTGCAGAGTCAACCAGGTCAACTAGACGGGTGACCTGACTGGCGACAAGATTGCGCAAGCCTCCCCTGGTGTTGGCTGGCTTGTAGTATTATAGATTTTTAATTCCACGACAGAAATGGGAAGTTCGATTACGAATAAGTGTATTTGAGAACAACGAACGTTACAAGGTAGATGCAGGAAACGCATCAGTACACGGATCGACGGCAGGCGTTCCATGTCTCGAATGGTTTCCCATGGGTATCAAGGATAAAGACTCGTCAAGACGTAGCTATTGATTAGAATCAACCACACTCGCTGGACAAATAGTCAAATTTGCCTTCAAAGCGGTGCCGCCACCATGTTTATCACGTCTTCGATTACGTCCTCGGCGCCCACGCCTTCAAGAATGGATTCGATGGCTTCCTGCTGGCTGCCCCACTGCATGCTCCTTTCCTGTTTTGCGTGCACGATCCGGATCCGATGCAGGTAGATTTTCCTAATAGCCAAGTGAACGAGAGCCGGCGTCACAAAGTCCAGGCTATGCAAGGGGGCGAGGCATCTCAGCAGCTGGTCGAGATGCTTCGTTGCAATCGGTTCGATGCCGCCGGCAACTGCGCGGTGCATCCTCAGATATGTGACAATGTTCATTTGATAGCGTAGCACATCCACGTTGACCTGGACTTCTCGGCTCAGCTTGGCCAAAGATGCGATGTCCTGCCAAAAAGTTAGCCGCAGGGGAGACCAAACACCACGCGAAAGTTCACTTACACCTTCATTTAAAAGGGGATCCTCGCTGACGGCCATAGTCTCCTCGTGGATGCTCTTCTTCACCACGCTTTCGGTGCTGGCAGTCTCGGCATCGTCAGCTTTGTCGTACGCTTCGTCCAGGTTGGCAAAGCCGTCGTCTGGGTCGTGCCAGTGGGCGATGAAGAAATAATCGTTCAGGTGCAGCGTAACGTGAGCCTGGCCTCCGCTCTCGGCGCCCAACGCAGTCACGAAAAGGAACTGCTTGGGAGCGGTCTGGACGGAGGTGCGGGTGAAGATGCGGCGGGTGCGTAGGAGCTCGAGGACCTGAATCTGCACGGCCTTGGGGGCGCGGTCCAGGTTCCGGGCGAGGATGACATTGGCGATGGAAGAACCGGCTGCGCCGCTGGGGCCGGTTGGGCTGTAGGCGTTGACGGCGGTCAAGGGCGAAATACCGGCGCGGGAGTAGAAGTAGGAGTCGTTGCGCGTGCGAAGGGGTGAGCCTGATCTGGTGGCTGTGGGCGACTGCGCTATGAGGATGGAAGATGCAAAGTCCTCCAGGGTGGTTTGCGGAGAGCAGTCCACGATGGCGCACGTCAGACCAAAGGTCTTTGTCGCGATCTGCAGGCAGGTTAGAGATGTGAGCAGCGGGACGGCCGCAACAAGTTGGCTTACAAGCTGAAGCTCCTCGATAAGTTCATTGAGGGCGACAGGAGGAGTGCTGACGATACAGTGTTCTCGGTTGACCAGGCACAAGAAGGCGGCGAGCTCAAGGTCGCTCAGGCCGTGGACCTTGGTCAGGAGATCTTCTTCATCCGCCATGAGGATCGGGTGAGATGTGTCTCCAAGGTCCCATCAGCGCATTTTGGGCTACAGACGTAGTCTCGTGTGTTGTTCGTCCACAGCATATATGTGGTGTGCGACTAGGTGAGGTAGAGACAGGCGGGAGAGGTCTTGGTGCTCACATGAGTTTTGAGCATAAGGTAATAAGGTAGTCAGGGCGTGCTCTTGCTGAGCTCAGTTCGCCTGGACCGTCGTTGAGTTGAGAAGGAGCATTATGTGTGGCTGGAGAGACGCTTTGCATGCAGCGGGCAAGGTACAGTGCATTGAGCAGTTCATTCCCACAGCGCCCACAGCGCCTGAGTCGTTACGTCAGCCACAATGACAACACAAGTAACGCGCCTGACGATACTGCGCAGGTAGACACTCGGAGCCCTTCCTGGTTAGTCCCAGCACTGGAGGCAGCTCTTTGATAGGCTGAAACCTGGAAATGTGACGGGAGCTCTCAGTACCGCCTGGTTCCCTGTCAACCTCCACCATGACTTTCCGTCCATCGATCTACTGCGTATCGACCTGCACTTGACACCAACCAACCACCCCTGACCGCAAGACGCCGGTCCGTTTTCGATCACCTTGACGTCCGAACCGATAAGAAACCCAACCCGCGACCGAAACTTTCGTACCTCTACGTAGAACGACCGACTGTTGACGCCGACACTTGTTGACCATCCCAAACTCTACATACTCCTCCAACGAGGCAATCGATTCAAAATGTCATCGAGAAAGAAGGTCCTTCTCAAGGTGGGCTCTCCCCTCCCAGCGCTGCAGCATATCATCGCGCGGCATAATTGACGAGGTTGTTTTCGTGCAGGTCATTATCCTCGGCGATAGCGGTGTCGGAAAGACGAGTCTGATGAACCAATATGTGAGTTTCCGTGGATCAAGCAACACCCAGGAGGAGACTGGTGGCGCTGACGTGAATGTTTCACCCAGGTCAACAAGAAGTTCAGTGCAAGCTACAAGGCCACCATCGGCGCCGACTTCCTGACGCGCGAGGTTCTCGTCGACGACCGACAGGTGACGATGCAGGTGGGATTAGACCGACACAACGACTGATCCATGATCCGGACATGTGCTGACGAATGGACGACAGCTTTGGGATACGGCAGGACAGGAGCGCTTCCAGTCTCTGGGCGTCGCTTTCTACCGTGGTGCCGACTGCTGCGTGCTCGTATACGATGTCAACAACTCCAAGAGTTTCGATGCTCTGGACAGCTGGAGGGACGAGTTCTTGATCCAGGCTTCGCCAAGGGACCCGGACAACTTCCCCTTCGTTAGTAGCTAATGACACTGGACTGTGCGAATCGAGGCTGATGTGTGACTAGGTCGTTCTTGGAAACAAGATTGATGTTGAGGAGAGCAAGAGAGTTGTAAGTGCGCCAAAATGGTTGTTCTCGGTACAGTTGGCTAACGTGATTGTAGATTTCAACCAAGCGCGCCATGACCTTTTGCCAGTCCAAGGGCGGTATTCCCTACTTCGAGACCAGTGCAAAGGAGGCCATCAACGTTGAACAGGCATTCGAAGGTTGGTGCAGCGTTATCTATGAGCCTCCGTAACGACGAGTAGGCACTGACAACATCAACTAGTTATCGCGCGGAACGCTCTGGCCCAGGAAGAGTCCGAGGAGTTCAGTGGTGATTACCAGGACGTCATCAACATCCCCATCGAAAACCCCCGAGACGGATGTTCTTGCTAAGTTGCTATTGGGTAAACAGTTGGTTGATGTTGGCGAGTCGAGGACTAGGGCGGCACACAGTATTAGGACCCTGTCCGACTCGCATTATGTTTAGTCCAAGGGCCTTTCCACATATCCATTTTTGGCCTTGGCTTGATGTTGCATATCCTGCACTGGTGTGAAAGGTGTTTAGAGGTTATTATTGGAATTTGATCAAGGGTTTATTCGTCTGGTTCCAACAACTATTCGCCTTCTGTGTCATGAATAACTTATCACGCCTGCAACTATGCTTGAGTAATGGTCCCTGGGCAAGAGGATCCGCAACCGGCAAAAGGATGCCTTTTCACAACATTCCATCTCAACTAACAAGCGCAGGGCCCGGGTGGACAACCGTCTGTCCCATCATGTATTCATCACCAGTCCGAGCTGGCGGATCATTCTTGCCGTCCGTCATCAGACTCCGCTTAGAAGAATGGATCCGAGGCTACACTAAAGCCCCAAGGCTGGAAACCGGCACTAATTCCACCCTGGCAGCCAGTGCTCTCTGTAAGCTTCATGCGAGGCGTCATGCTTGGCTTTGTCCAGCGGCGGCAGCCTAGAGGAAGAGGAGGTTGCATCTTTTGCTTTAGGTACCTTGGGATTTAGTAAGTACCTTGCCTTACATACAGCAGAGAGACTCATCTCACTTGCTCCCTTACCTTAGCCACCTGCCATGGGTACTGAGGGAGGCTGAGACTTGAAGAAGTGGCACGCGATCGACCCACCACTATTGGTTGCCGGTACTTGGGACGAATACAGGGGGTGTTTTCGCCCGTGCTATTGAAACTCAACCTTGAAGAAACACCCTTAATTAACACATTGACACGAATCCCTTGAAAGTAAACGCTCCAGCGACGAAAAAAATAACGGACGACGCGTCTGCATCAGAGAAAGCTCGCCAGGCTTCCTCGAGTGTTCGCTTTGTTGAGGGTCTTTTTGCCGGTCTCCAGTGAATCGCTCCATAATCGTCATCGCCTTCAACCCGACGGCCCGAGAAGCAGTTGGCATACGGCATATCCGTGCCGTGCTACACATGCGCCGAGTCGAGCGACGGGACATTCGGCCACCGTCCGCCCCCCTCTGAACGCAATTGCTCTGTGACGACTTTCCGAGAGTTCGCCCTGCTCTTCGCCGACCCTGCGGTCAAATGCCTACAGCTTCGACAGCGACCCTGGATTACCTTAAGGCGGACAGCCCTCCCTGAATCCTCGAACTCCTCCTGATTACCTACCTACCTACCTCTCTCCCCCGACGATACGGCGTGCGACGACAGATTGCGAAATCGCCCGAAACGAAAATGGCACCGAGCGAGCCTATGCTGCCCGCCGCGTTGGCACCACCAGATCATGACCGTCCTCCGAGGAGGTCATTCTCGAGCACCGACAGGCTGAGCGCCTCGGTTGCGTCTACAAATCGGTCGAGATCGACGGTGCGGTCATCCGGATGGCAGGCAAAGATGGGACTGGGTGGCGTTGCGAGGCGGACGCTAGGCATTTCGCTGTTGCTCGTGACAGTGTTGTTGTGGACGATATCCAACTTTTTGGCATCTGTGAGTTTTTGGCAGTGTTGCTTTCGTTGGCGTGAACTGGCGCAAGCTGACAGTGAGGGGGACACAGTATATTTTTTCGGATCATTCTTACGACAAGCCATTTTTTGTGGTGTATATGAATACGTCGGTGTTTGCGGTGTCTCTGATACCCATGTTGGTACGTTTTCTGATGCTTCACGGTGTCGAGGGTCTACGACGTGAGGCCATGGTGGTCTGGAACGAGCAAAGGTACGGCAAGGACCTTAAGACGGCCGAGGATGAGGAAGACACGGTGGCGGGGGAGCGCCTGCTGGTCGACGATGAGCCGAGCCTGGAGATGGAAGGGTTTGAGACAACGACGAGGGTGGAGCGGCTCACGTTCCGGGAGACGGCCGTCATCAGCCTCGAGTTCTGCATGCTGTGGTTCTTCGCAAACTACTTCGCGTCGGCGTGCCTCGAGTACACGAGCGTCGGGAGCGTGACGATCCTCAACTCGACGAGCAGCGTGTGGACGCTCGTCTTCTGCGCCGTGATGGGGGTCGAGGGGTTCACGGCGCGCAAGCTGATTGGCGTGCTGGCGTCGCTGACAGGTATCGTGCTGATATCGACGGTGGACCTGTCCGGGTCGAGCGACGAGAACCGCGGGTCGTTCCCGCACAAGACGACGGGGCAGATTGCCATTGGGGACCTGATGGCGTTTGTGAGCGCCATCATCTACGGACTCTACGTGACTGTGATGAAGAGGCGGGTAGGCAACGAAGATCGGGTGAATATGCCGCTCTTCTTTGGACTCGTTGGACTTTTTAACTTGGTGTTCCTCTGGCCCGTCTTCTTCATCTTGCACTTCACGGGGATGGAGCCGGTAAGTCACACCACGCGCCTTTTCCTCATGGACTTTGAGAGTGTCTAATCAAGGTTGCCACAGTTCTCGTTTCCTCCTACGGCCAAAATCTGGGCCATTGTCATTGGCAACTCGCTATCGTCCTTCATCAGCGACATGTCATGGGCGTACGCCATGCTGCTCACGACGCCGCTAGTCGTGACGGTCGGTCTGTCTCTCACTATCCCGCTGTCGCTCATTGGCGAGATGATACAGTACTCGCAGTACTCCAGCTGGGTGTACTGGGTCGGCGCGGCTGTGGTGCTCATCTCGTTCCTGTTTATCAATAACGAGAGCCACGAAGACGAGTCAAGCGACAAGAGCCCCGAGGCAGGATCCCGGGGCGTCTCGCAATTATGAAAAAGGATGTTCCTATAGACACAAAGTTGTAATTCGAGAGCAGACAGAGGCGCGGGGATCTAGACGTGTTGCATGGGCTAGGGCGTTAAGACACGGCGTACGGTGCTTCCCTTGTTGGATTCCGCCTGGAGCGCTGTTGAGACTGAGCTGTTTGCTCAGTCTCTTCATTAATACAATCAACTTGCATCATATCGTGCCAATCAACTCGTGTGAGACCTATCCCTCAAAATCTTGTGTCAATCATTGAAGGTCATGGTGATAGTATATGAGTAAGGCACGGCGTCAATTTCACGTGGCACGCATGGGAGGGAATGACCTCTTAACGAAGCCCATCTCCATATACCAAGGCGGATGATTCGGAAGAGCTGTCAGGCAAAAAGAGGTGGTCCCGAGTGGAAATGTAATCCAGCTGCGGTGGAGACATTGCATCGCAAAGGGTGAACCCGCGGACTTTTTCTCTATTGACTGGTCGGTCGGTCGGTGAGAGGATGAGCGCGCCGAGGTCAAGGTGCAGCTGTAGTGTGACTTTGGAAAGACTGGGAAGGTCGGTCGAGCACGACAAGACGGGATTTTGCAGAATCCGATGGCGGATTTGAGTAAAATGCGATGCATGGGGCTTTTTTTTTTCTGCTCTCTTCCTTGATTTTGTGAGGGGAGGGGGGGATCTGCAGACGCATGGAGACAGCCGCGCAATCGGATTCGCCGCTTGGTACTTGAAGTCTCCAGAATGTTTCTGAACATATGTGGCACAGTGATCCTATACTTTCCCCCCCTGCTCTTTTGTTGATAGAGTTGCGGGAAACTGGGAAAGTTTGCTGTGACTCTGATTTGGCGTCTTTGGCATGTGCGGTATCACGGAAGGCCTGGGATTTTTTCTCGGGTTGCATTGAGGTTACAGGTGGGCAGAAAATATCGGAAAGCAGTCTGTAAGGGACAGAGTCTAAGAAAATCTCTTGGGACTCTATCTGACTGGATTGCAACCAAACATGATGCGGAAAGAAGTATGAATTAGTTGGCGACAATTGCAAGGAGGTGAGTAAGGTGTACTCTGTTGACAAGGTGATGAGGAACCTAGCTTGGAAGGTATTAGAGGCACAGGTACACTAGAGAAAGGAGGGATCACCTGTTGGCGCCGCGGGCAGCAAGCCTGAAGGGCGCTTGACATCGTGGGGTCCTGCCAGAGTTGATGGCCCGCAGGAAAGCCGATCGCTGGGGCGCGCTTCCTCCTGCAGATGGCCCAGTCGCTATTCGGTATGCATTGGTCTAATTTATTGTACATGGCCGTGATGGAGGAGCCTACACGAGCTAAAGGGTCCAAGGGTTGCATAACTCGTGTTTCGTTAGTCTTGCCAGCTCCTTGTCCTGCTATTCCCGCCTTCCAGGTTTTTGGAGATCGAGACATAAGACATTTGGACTCATCAAGATGAGAAACGCATCAGGCATGAATATGAAGAAACCAATGGTATCTGTAAAGCGTCCAGAAACGAGGAAAATGGCAAGCCACAGTGGACTGCTTGGCTGCGCAAAAATGTCGGGCATGCGGCGTCGCAGGCAGCGTACTGTAGCAATGGGAAAATGTTCGATTGGAATCCAGCCCGATGGATAAAAGTGGTCCCTTACGGGGCGAGACCGCGAATGATCAAAAGCCATAGGACCCAAAGACCCCTGACCCCTGACCAAATGGAGGTCCTCCACAACCCTCGCCCCCCGCCGGGTCCCCCTCTTCGCCCTCGTTTGTTTGCTTGCTCGCTCCACGGTAAGGTAGGGTACCCGAACCGCATTTCCATTTCCTTCTCGTGAGGGTTTCCCATGCAACGAAAAAGGCGAAATTTGCCATGCCGTGGCGGGGGGGTTATACCGAGGTTCTACGGATGTTCCTCTGGTGTGTATGCTGATATGATTCAAGGCTATGTAAGCTGCTCAGGCACAACTACGGATACTGCTTGTCCACGAGACCTCGACGCGATGCGACAAAGCATAAAGAGATCACATCAATTTTGGGAATAGTTCCCGTCAGGCAACAGATAACCCCGATCTCCATCTCAGACATCTTCTCTTTCTTTTACCTGCACCTGCACCTGCACCCATCACCCCAAGACCAGACCTGAGCTAACACCCGATACGATCTTGGACGTGGCCCAGTCGATTTTCAAGATTCCATGCTGGAGGTGCGCACTAATAGCTTTCCGAGCTTCTCTCGTCCACATCGTCTCG